TAAGCTGGTCAGCTGAGGTGGAAAGGCTAATGGCAGAATGAAAGAGAAACTGGGGGACGGAGACTAGTTACGAGAAAAGGAGCTGAAATAAGACTCAGAAAGAGCTACAAACCAAAAGGCAGGGAATAAATGATACTACTACAAACAAAGAATTTACTTATGAGGAAAAATCAAAATGGCAAAAATAAACAACTGATAGTAGCAAGTCCTCTTCTAACAATAATATACCCAGAAGTAATTATAAAGGAGCACAAAACAAAAACACAACATCAACATAGCTAATTTGATTGAATCTTCATCGATACTGACAGAGCATCAGCATTGCATAGCATGAGATTAAACCAAGTGACGGTTAGTTCATTGACATTATGGTGTCACAGTGGTTTTGTTTTAGCAGTAGCACAGATGTGTGCTGTATAAACCGTGTCTCTAGGCTGTCGGGCTCATGCCACATCATATTTTTACATATCCAAATAATCTGTGGCAGACTGTCCTGGTTAAAGATCCTATGAGGTATGTCACAGGATCACATGAAAAATAAAAAGCATGCTGGTGCATCTTTGTACAACGTAGAAGTGCAAAGTAAATACATATTTGTGCAGTATTAACTGCCACTGAGTCATCACTTGTCTGTGTAGTTAAAGCTCATTAAAACTTGACTGGTCAGTAGATTAAATGAATCCCTGAGTATTTTAACGTCAGTCTAACCTGTTCGTATGCTCATGTTTATAGTGCACAGAAAGACAGACACGATAACTTCTCAGATTTTGTTGCTGTAGATTTAGACAGAGTAGCTCTTTGCTCTGTAGTTTTCCAATTATACTTTGGACTATAATTTAAAAACAAATGGTATCCTGGGCCTGTCAATGAATAAAAGTTTCAAGAAATTTGATGCATCTAATCTGGAGAATCCAGAACTCGGTACAAAAACTTTCGTCGAGCCATCAGAGTGAGGCGTATCAACATTTATGCTCGAGGAAGTAAGTGTACAAAAAATATCAAACACTCAAAGTCAAAACTCATGAGTCAGATTTAAGTCCAACCATCGGAATGAGACAAGTTTATCAACATTTATGCTTGAGGAAGTAAGTGTGCAAAAATATTTAAATTCACTACATGTATATTAAAGCTGTTCAACTAAAGCTCTTGTTTACCAAGGCAAACATGTTTGTTTCAATGTTGCAGTTTGCATTACAACTACGGCGCATCATGAAAGCCATGTTCCTTAAATATGTCTTTTTCTTTTAGTGTGTCTTTGTCCAAATGTCCAGATTAGTGTCATTGAACCCGTGGGGTTGTTTTTTATTCGTCATGTGCGGTTATAAACCTTATCAATTTAAACGTGATGAGAACGTCCCCAGCAGGAGCGGCGCATGTGCCTGCACTCCTATGCAAACAGTTTTTACTTGTTATAGTCTTGGCCTCGGATTTGCAAAGTAAACAAAGCACACAAAAGGAATCATCCAAAAGGGTCATCAGAAGCCAGAGGGCCGGGGTATTTCTCGCTGACCCACATGCTTTACAGAACCAGCTGGACCCAGAGGGAGTGATGCTGACAAACCTGAAATGACACCATGGATGTCCTCAGGAGGCTGTCTGCACTCTTGTCCTTCTCATGGACAAGCAAAAATTCAATTCTGTGATTAAACAGAAACGTTTTGTATAGTACTTCTCACAAAACAAAAAATCACAATCAATCACAATCAAAAGCTAAAAAATAAAGGTTTTGCTTCTTGCTACTCCAAAATACACTCTGTAAAAAATTAAGGGCCCACTGCTCTGAACCCCATTGAAAATCTCCTGGTTATTCCGCCAAATATTGATTTCTGAACTGAGTAAAAACATTAGTATTGTTGTTTCTAAGTGAATATGAACTCTGCATCTGAAAGCGCTGCGTCTTTTTCGTTATTGTGACAATTTCTCATTTTCTGCAAATGAATACCAAATTTTTACTTTGACTTTCAGAGACATGTTGTCAGTAGTTCATAGAAAATAAAAGAACAATGCTCATTTTACTCAAACATTTACCTATAAAGAGTGAAATTAGAAAAACTGGTCATTTTAAGTGCTCTCTTAATTTTTTCCTGAGCTGTGTAAATTAGCATATATATATAGCATATAAATGCATAAATTATAAATATTTTCAATACAGAAATTCTTAATAGAAATTTTCAAGATCCCATTCCTCAGTCTTTCAGTATGTTTCTCACTTTTATTCCGTCGTTAGAATAAAATTAGTTTTAAATTCAAAATCACCTTCAAAAACAGTCTGCTGCGTTGCTGCTGCGTTGCTGCTGCGTTGCTGCTGCGTTGCTGCTGCGCTGCTGCTGCGTTGCTGCTGCGTTGCTGCTTGTCAATAGTTGCACTGTTGCATCTCCAGTTGTAGGGGAAACATTTTACTACAACATCCTCTGGACTTACGCAGTCAGAGTTCCCCAGCTAACCTTGAGTTCAGTTTTTATCAGCCCTTCTGAAAGTTTATATGTCATTGAACCAGTGGTACACATAGCACTCTGGCACGTCTATTAATAAACATGACTCGAATGCATAAAATGGAGACAAACACAGTGTTATACGCTTCTACTGCTAAGAGTTAGCATTGCAACAATTAAGAAATCCCACTGGAATCACACCTAATGAATATTATTATCATTAGCAGTAAGTGAACAATTAAGTTTTTCAAATATGTTTTAGAGACACTGCTGGAGCTGCATGGATTCTAGAATGCTCTCATCGATAATGTTCAAAAATACTTTGTTGATCCAAAAGAGAAATGGTATTCGTGTCCATATCCTAGTTTTTTAGAAGTAACATATGTATGAATACTTCCTGACTCCTTTTTACAGATTGTGGATGATTGTTTTTCTGAATGAGCCTTGTAAAGCACTGGCAACCTCTCCGGGGTAGACTTCCTGTTGGCCTAATGAGAGCAGATATAAAAAGAAGTGCATATGTAGACAGTAGACAGATACATTGATGGGTTAATGAAGCCGTAGGAGTAGAAAGTTCAGCCCAGATAATTAGCAGACAATGAGATGAGCTCTGATAGAACACACAGAGAATGCAATTCTGGTGACCCAACTTTCCCTCTGGCCGTATTGTAATGTGATCCATGTTGGCAGCGTGGCTCTTGTGTTTCCTGAAGACATTTACAAGAATAGAAACTTGTCCCTGCTTTTTATCAATTGGTTACTGTGTCTGACACTCCAAAGAGCCACAAATCTGAGCTGGAAACGCTGATTCTGATTTGTGTTGTATTTCTGCTGTGTTTGTTTTTCTGGTGATTCAGTGGCTCGGGCTCCGTGAAGCTTCCCAGACTCCCTCACTCTCGCCTTCTTGTCTTTTCCTGCATCGTTGCTGACGATGCTTTCACCTGTCATTTCTCTTTTGTTCCGATTGTATTTTTACGATTCACCAATCTCTTATTCGACAGCAGCCACATAAACCTAACAATCTGTAGTCCATCACATATTTTCTGCAGTTTTGGATATTCAAAATGATTGGACATCTGTGCAGGTTTTCTCGCCAGCCAACTGAAGTAAACACAGTCAGTTGTACAGACCAGTCATGTGACTGCAGTGCTAGTCTACTTGAACCTATGTAAGCTTGCAGTGTTGCATTTGGCCTCCTGCCTGTCCGCCTGCAACACTGACACACACACACACGCACGCACGCACGCGCACACACACACACACACACATACACACACACATTGTAAACTTTATTGTATCCCCCTCCGCTCTTCTGCCCCGCCTCTACTGTTGTGTTTGAGATAGATTGGACTCGGACCCAGCGGAACATATGCTCTGACAATAGGAGATTTGTTTTACCACACTTGTATCATCTGTGCCAGTTAAAACCGTCCAATCGAACCAATGTTTTGGTCCATACGGACCGCTGGTGTTTCCATGATTTCCTTGGACTTCTTCTCAGTAATGAGACACCAGTTTGTGTTGTACGGGTTATCCTCCGAGCCAGACTCTCAGGCAGGAAATGTAGCTTTGCTGTTTGCATGACTAAGCACTGACTGATGCAGTTTTTGTAATGGATGTTGCCGGAACAACTGACTCGCAGGATTGGCTGAGCAGCTCCAATCAGTAGACGTTTATTAGGGGCCAGTTTGTATAGATTTCTATCAATTTCTGCTTACTACCAGAAAAATATGTTTTATTCATAGTTTTTTCTTTCTTTTTTTTTTGCAAGTATGCATAGATCCAGATTACCATTAGTCCACTTATCCAGAAAGCTACCTTTGCTTTTATCCAGGTAAGCGCAGGCATTCAAATGCAGAAGACAGGTTTCTCCAATGTCTTAAAAATTATTATCTTAGTAGCATTTTGCAAAGGAACACTTTTGAGAACATTTAACTTTGCTTTGGAAGCATTTTTAGTGCTTTGGAAGTGGCTGTGGGTGATTTACTACTGGGGAAAGATTCTACTGTTCTTGTCTTTGTCTTGATGAACTTTTTTTTATCTTAGCATATGTTTTTAGAACATATGCTAAGATATGTTCTATCTTAGCATATATTAGCATATGCTAATATGCTAGATGGATAGATATGTTCTATCTTAGCATATGTTAGCATATGGATCAATGCTTGATTGGATCAATGATTGATCCAATCAATTGGATCAAGCATTGATTGATCCAATCAATGCTTGATTGGATAAAGCATTGATTAATCTAATCAATGCTTGATTGGATAAAGCATTGATTGATCCAATCAATGCTTGATTGGATAAAGCATTGATTGATCCAATCAATGCTTGGATCAGGAAGAAGCATTGATTGCACGGTTTCTGCTTTAGACACCACAACTGGAACCAAATATGCTTTAAATTCAAATGTCTGACCTGATAAACGAGAAATACGAGAAGTGTATTTTACTGTTAGTGAAAGGCAAAACACAGCAGAATCTTTCCTGCCATATGCCATGTGTGTGTGTCCTATTTTTCCTATTGTGTACTTATTACAATTTTCTCCTTCTCTTCCTCCGCCAGAGTTCCCTCCAGATAACTTTTGACAGCAGTCTCCAGCTAACCGCTGGCTCTGCAATAGATAGCGTGACCTGCACTGACCAGTCAGCGAACAAAATGGTAAGAAATACATTTAGTCTTCTTCTTTTCCGTATTAGTAACAAAAACTGAAATGTATTTTATTTACATTTTAGGTGGTACACCTCTACCACATGAAATCCCAGTTAAACACATTAAAGTTGAACTGGGTAATTCATCATGCATCCAGTTAATAAAGACCAACTCATTTCTTAAACGTTTTACGGGACAAATATATCTCCAAATGACTTTTTTTGTTGTTGTTGTTATCACCTCAGTTCTTGTGTGAATGCGTTTGACAGTGATAAAATCGATTCATCTGTGTGATAACGAGGCGGAGTTTCTCTTTCTGACAGTGAAACCTGTCTTATCTCCCCTGTCCCGTCATGTCGGACGCCACGTTTTGCAGAGACAAACCCAAGATAGGTTTTCTGTGACGCGTCTCGTCCTGTCTTCCTTCTGTAGGTGTTACGCTGTAAATGCTGGGTAGACACGCTGACGTTTCCTGTGACTGTGACCCAGCAGTCACCCGCTGCTGTTTCCATGGATACGTATCAGATCACTACTGCACCGATGATGGCTAAGGTACGAAAGCCGTTTAAGCTAAAAAAAAAAATGGCAGAAAATTATTGAAATGTTTTAGTCAAAATTGCTACTACAGACACATGGGTTGGAATGCACAGACTTTGTTATTGTTATTATTCTTGCTTTTGTCTTGCTTTTTGTCCCTCCATCGGATGGGTTACCTGACTGTCCGTCTCCGACAGGTGGACGTGTCCCTGGAGGAAGTGGAGGACGAGGGCTTGCTGATATCTTGGACTTTTTCCAAGCAGCCGTCATTTTCTCTCACCGTGTCTCCTTGCAAACTGCAGAGACAGGTAAGAACATTCGATAACTGACACCAAGCACATCTGATATACCTGCAGCCAGCGAAGGTCTCATTTCTAACACAGCTCCGTCTCTTCCAACCAAAAGTGTGCATGCATTCAAATAAAAAAAAATAAAAATCAAGCGTACACCATGCAAATGTTTGTCTTGTTTTTTGTGCTCTCAGATTCTTTTAATAAATCTGGAGCAGCCTATTAGGAATTTGCATGTGAGTCACTTTTTAGCCCATTTAACTCATCGTGAGTCATGGAGGAAATGTCGCTCTGGAATGTTGCAGCATGAGCATGCATGCCCCCACTCATTTGTGGCAAGCAAATATTTATCATCGCTAATTAATTTCACAAATGACGACAGTCAGAATTAGAAAACAGGGATGTAGGACAAACCGCGAATGGCGAAGAATTTAGAATATGATTAGAAATGACAGGAAACGAACATTAAAGCAATTGGTTCTGTTTAACTCCGCGATGCTGAGCATCGTTAGAGGAGGACTGAATGTCGCTGTTTCTACTTTCTCAGCGCTCGGAGGCCACAGCAGACCTGGACATGATCAAAGGAATGGTTGAAGACACGCTGTTCAGCGCCCACCCGGCCATGGTCCTCAACCTCAAGGCCTCCATGTCTCCTAGCGTGGTGAGAGAAGCGCTCTGCTTGTCACTCAGAGGACAAATTAATTATCATCTATTTTTTGACGCGAACGAATGCCAGTGGCTGAATTCTGCTGATAGATTATGGGTTTAAGTAGATTAAAACTCCGTTCTGCACTGTCATCCCTGCGCACTCCCAGTCCCCAATGGACCGTCTCTCAGTGGGAGCCAGCTCCACATCCCATGGGTTCTTAGTGAGGCGGCTCCTTCTCCAGCAGCTCAGGGTGACCTTAAGTAAAGGTCAGATATTCTCTCCCTGCATCAGATCGTTTCCGCTTATTTTATTTTTTTTATTATTATTCTGCTGAGAGTCGAGTTCTCACGTTCTTGCCGTGTTGTCCGAACACACAGGCCTGTGGTCCAGATCAGGGGAGCTGTGCTGCGTCCTGAGTCTGGACCAGCCGTCGGCAGAGAGGAGGACCTGCTTCCTGCCTGTGCCGAGGAACCCCGACGCTGCCCTGGAGTGGCGCGAAGAAATGACTCTGTAAGCTTCCACGTGTTCTTCATGGTTCTGCAAGATAAACCTTTTATTTCATGTAAAATAAGACATAAGAGTCACAAGCTGACAGCAAATTAAATCAATGTAAAAGACTCTCACAAAGTAAAGTGTTTGACAGTGTTTTACATTTTGACTCTTCCACATGTGTTCTCCTTTGGGTTCTGAGAAGTTTTTTTTTTGTGTGTGTGTGTGCGTTTAAGGGAGCTTGGCCCGGAAACCAAAGAGCTCAGGTTCAGGCTTTTGGAGCGGAGCGGCACAAGAGAGCGTAAGGAAAATCTCAATAGCAGTTTGTTGCTGGCAGCAGTCCACAAACCTGATCAGCAACGTCGTTTAGACTGTTCAAGCAAAATCATCCGTGTCTGAAACTGCACAGCTGGCAGACTCGCCGCAATAGATTATTTCTAGGAAATGTTCACTACTTAGTACCTCGGAAAAGTATTTGTACCTCTTGAACTTTTTCAGCGTTTTTGCCTTGTTGCAACTAAAAATGCCGGTTTATTTTACTGAGAAATATTTGATAGACCAACACAACGTAGAACGACATAAATTGTTTTGACAATTTTTACAAATTAAAATTGGAAAGGGGAGACTTGCTTTTGTATTCAACCTCCTTTACTCTGCTGCTCCAGAATAAAAATGTTGTGCTTTTGTAAGTTAATTATTGAATCCAGCTGTTCTGTGAAGGCCTCAGAGGTTTCTTAGAGAAAATTAATGAACAAGCAGCACAATATAAACCATGTAACCCTGGAGACACGTTAGAATATTCTCTGTTCAGTTACAAAATGTAACTTTTTTCCAATATGCAGAACACCGTGTGTGATGGGAAGCTATCACTACCCGTTTCCCTGAGTACATTCTCCACATCCTGAAACACGGTGGTGGAAGTGTCATCCTGTGGGATGCGTTTTTGATGTTTAGGGAAGCTCTCCATCTAATCTGAATGTGCGTGAGTTGTTTTATAAAGAAGAATGGGGAAAAATCTTAAGAGTCCAAGATGATAAAAATGTGCAGCTTCAGTTTAAAATAGAAAAAAAATAAAAATGAAACACTTCCACTTTACAACCATATGACATTTGTGTTGGTTTATTACAGAAAGTTCTAACAAATTGCTCTATTTGAGGGTAGAGAGACAAAACTTTGAAAAGTCTCTCAGCTACAGAAAAGGATAACATTTTGTACGTGTTGTAAAAATTAGAAAAGCGTATCGGTGAGACTCGTAGTGATGTTTCTCTATGCTCAACCCTGACAGAGTTTCTTCCTGGTCACGCCGCCATCGCCATAAACCTGCAGTCTAAAACCCCGACTGGGCAACATGTTCTGTGTCTCAGCTCCGGCCCTGGCTCAGCACCAGACGCCACCATCAGCACAGAGGTGAGAACAAGATGCCTCTACAGTTATTTTAAAACTTTTATGAAGTTACTTTCATCCATTAGAAGCTTTTTTTTTAATTTGTCACAAATTCAATTTTAGCATTTTCCCAATTATGGAGTCTTTGTTTTTTTTAAAGTTACCATGTTTTATTTTTTTTTATGTTGAATGTTACATCTTTACCTAATGCTTGTACTTTTCTAGCTGCTGTACGTAGAAACCGTTGACCCTCGCAGTTCCCCGAACGCTTTCCCTATTCGCTCCTCGTTGACCCCTACAAAGAAGGTCGACGTGGATCGAACAGTCACGCCAGATGGCACCATAGTCACTACCGTCACCACCGTGCAGTCGCGAATGAAGCTCGATCGCAGCCCAGGTTTGTCTAGAGAGCCCAGAACTTTATGGCGCCCAGCTGCTGTAAAATTAGTAACTGTACAGCCATTTTGCCTTTCAGGTGATTCCCCGCTGCGTTCACCATCCAAAGTCGAGGTGAGCGAAAAGAAGGCGGCCGTGTTGGTGGACGAAAGAGGCAGCAGCAGTCCCAACCCGAGCAGTGAGTCGCACACTGAAAACCAGACATTGTTTTGCAAAACAGATGCAAAGTAGGATAAGCTGCAAGCAGGGATGTAACACGAGTGAAGAGTAATGCTCTTCTTTTACACTTTATGCGCTCTGTCTGGACGCTTCTCTTCAAAAACCTCATGTAGCTCTTTTGTAGCACTCGCGTCCCAAATGTCATGCTTAGACACAAACGTCGTTTCCGGTTTATTAGTGCAGCGCTGACGTAGATGTGTGTGTTTGTGTTGCTCAGAGAGCAGTCGCCTGTCTAATGGCCTGGATCCTGTTGCAGAGACGGCCATTCGGCAGCTGACAGAGTCTGCATCCAAATCGGCCCGGAAGACTCCAACAAAGAGGAGCACGCTGATCATCTCTGGCGTGTCAAAGGTCAGAGAGCGGTCACAGTGTCCTAAGGAATGCGACTCAACATCAGAGTCGTTTTTTCTGTCTTCTGCTTACTCTTAGTAAAGTGAAAATATTGATATTTCAAACTTTGGACCTATTATGAAGAAAATATGACATTGAGCCTGACGATGTGTGCGATCTATATTTAGTCTTCAATTACGTCCCCTCCACTGTACCAGATAATAGTAGGATGAAAATCTTCTGACCTGATTTTTGCATGGAAATCAGTAGAAAGTGTCAGTGTGTTTAAATGAAAGATTCCACATATTGTTAGAGTGTAGACACAGATTTCTGATAATATACAGAAACATATTCAGAAAAAGTGCAAAAATATTGATACCTGTTGTCAGTCTGGTCTGAACATTACTTGCTTCATACAAAGGGTCTGGACTCTTGTAAATTGAGAAACGATTGCTTCCTGGCGACATTGTGGATTGTGTCGAAGTTTTCAATTTTACCCAATCGCTGACATTTGGCTGTCTCGTTTGTAATGCACCAGTGCGGTGCCATGAAGCTTACTGGAAATTGCCTGCACTGTAAACAACAGTCCTCCACTGCGAAGAAACAAATACCGAGCCCAACGAGGCGGCTGCTGCTGTTGATTTAATATTTAGAAATGTGGCCAACACAGACTGAACGACATTGTTTACTTGCTCCGCTACCGCTGCTAAAGCTACAGGCAAACTACAATTCTAAAACAGCGTAGAAACCCAGTTAAAATCCAATGTGAGAAATTGAGCTCAATGGAAGAAATCACACGCGGAGTACTGAAGGGAAATGAGAATCAAAGGGAACTGCGTAGGAAAGCAACGGATGGTACAATCACATCAGTTTATTTAATCATAATTATACTTACCTCTTCTGAAGAGGAGCATCCCCACAATATGATCATCTGGCCCAAAATTTCATACTTTTTGAGAAGATGACTAGTTATTGATTCTTCCACCTGATGTGTGATCCTCTGCAGCTCCTCCAAAGTTACCATAGGCTTCGATCTTGGTGTCCAGCTCTATCTTAATAGGCTTACAAATACATTTGCAATCGCTGTAATAGAAAAACCAACAGCTCTGTCCAGTGTCACCAACCTCTTTCTCTGACAATCAGTGATGAACATCTCCATGTTTCTGTCAGGTTCCTCTCGCCGAGGACAACTGTGCACTATCAACGGGCTACGCGGCCGCCATGGACGCGGCCATGCACGGCAACCACTTCAGGTCGGGGCACCACCAGGACCCGGATGAAACCACTCCCTCTGACGTGTCGGAGCGCCCCTCTGTGGACGACGTGGAGTCTGACACCGGGTCCGCCGGCGCCTTGGAGACGCGCAGCTTGAAGGACCATAAAGGTAACGTCAGAGGAAGAGGTACTAAAATGTTCAATTTGCAATATGAGAGCTTACCTGTTCTAATTTGCTTTAAAATATGATTTATATATAGATTACATCTTTTTAAATTATTTTTTACAATTTTGTATACAATGTAAGTACATATTGTATTCTTACGTAACCTTAAAGTTGG